GTTTGTTGAATTTTCACCGCACTACCTCTAATGCAAGTATATCCCTTCTTAAAGATGGAAACCAAAATTGCACACAGTAGTCCAGGTGTGGTGTCACCAAAACTTTGTGCAACTATAACAAGACTTCTTTATGCCCGTGCTCAAATCCCCTGGGCAACCAAACATAGCCTGAAAATTGCAATATAATACCAACAGGTGCTAGTGCCCCATAAAACTGTCCATCCTATCAGGGATTGATAACGAGGACTCATCTGGAGTAAAGACTGGTGAATATACATCATTGAGCTTGGAGGAGAAACTTCCTCAGTGAAAATCAACAATAATCCCAAAAGGGAATAAAAACAAAGCACTGGAAATACTCAACGGGCCTGGCACCATCTGTGAAGAAGGAAAGTGAGTTAATCTTTTGACAGTTTCAGAAGTGCTGAAGCAGCATATTCAACTTAAAATCTTGACTCTGTTTCTCTCTCCAAAGACTCATTCAGCATTCTCTGTTTTTACTTTAGCATCCAGCATTCTTAATAGTTTGTTTTTTCTATTAATCGACCAAAATAGGACCTTTCTTTAAGTGCTCAATATTGGTTTGACTCTCAATGTTGCAATTAAACAAAAAAGAACAGGATCGGTTGCTTCAAATTCTACCAGAGATCAGTCAAGAAAGTACATTTAAAAAAGTGATAGAGTGTAGTCAATTGAGCATGCTTCATCATTCAAGAAGATTATGACTGATTTGGCTGTGGTCTTAACTCCACTTTCCTGCCATCCCTTCTCTGTACTCTCTTGCAGATTAAAAATCATAACATCAACCTCAATCCATATCAAAAGGAGAACACAACATAGAAAACTTAATTTTTGCTTGCACCAGTATTGGTGATTGGTACTACTTCTTGGAACACTACTGGGCTTGATTCTTGAATCTCGAATCTCATTTGGTCCTTTGTGGTTACAGCCACAAGTCTAGTCAGTACCAGAATGTTTTCTAGTCTTTTGTGGACTGTGTCAAATTTCATCCTGGATAGCTGCTTCTGAAAGTTCAAGAATTAGAGTAATGATGCCAGACAATTCTTGGGTGATTCTTAAAATCTTTAGACATCATTTGGTGAAAATATTTGGGTCTGAATAAATGAGAATAAAGAGCGGGAAAAAAACAAAGCCATAAAATAAACCTATAGATGAGTGATGACAAAAATGAAATATTTTGGTCTAAAGAATTCAAATAAATTCAAGAAAAGCGTTAGGACATAAGACGATTAAAGTTAATCACACACATTAAAAACATTAAATCAATAGGAAATGGGCAATATTTTCCAGAATTGGAGAAAGCAAACACTCCAATGTGGGACACTGTTGTATTCAACCAACAGTGATATCACCAGCACACCATCTTGTAAGGAAGCCAGCCCTTGCACAGAAGTAAGGAGATGAGAGCAGCAAATTGATTGATAAATTTCAAATGCAATATTAACAACAAGAGTACAAATATTACAAGACTTTAATTACCCCAATACAGACTGGGTAAGTTCTAAGGGCATGGTGGAAGAATTTCTAACACAGGTATGTGTACAGGAGAACTATCATAATGATTCCACTATAACAAGGAATGAAGGAATCTGGATCTGGGAAATAAAGTAGAGAAGTGGAAGGCACTACAGTGTGTTACTTAACTAAGATTGACCACAAAGTAACTGCAGATAAGAGACCAAAAACATCAAGACAAAAATGCTCAACTGGGAAAAAGCCAATTTCAATTATTTAAGAAGGGACTGTGTGTAGCTAGGACTCATGAAACAGTAAGATATCCACGGAGAGCAAATCAGGAAAGAAAATGGTCAGTTAGTCACGGGAAGTACTTCTTTTAAGGGAAAAGGAGGGCATCTAATGCATCTTCGAAGTCTAAACTAAAATAAAGGAAGACTTACAACGAATGTCAGCCTCCGATAATAACCAGAAATCTTAGAGAAAGTACAGGATGAAATTGAAAAAAAAAATAAAGGCAACATTAAACGAAACACAAACAGCTTATACAAAAATTGAGAGTGGCTTGCCAGAGAAGAAATTGCAGGATGAGAATCTTTACAGAGAGGCAGAGGCACGACTAAGGTTCTAAACGATGCTTTGTACCTGTCTTCACAAAGGAATGGATGATGTGAAAATTACACTAAATGGGGAGACAACAGTTATAAATGGAACAGGAATAGGGAAGAGCAGCTGAATGTTGAAAGGTCAGCCGATCCAAATGGAAGATATCCTACATTGCCAAAAGCAAAGGCAGAATTATAAGCAACATTGAAATATTGTGATCAATCTTCACTAGATTGAAGATCAGTGCCAGAGGACTGCAAAATTGCAGATATTATACTAATACTGAAAAATCGGGGAGGATAAACCAATAAACTACACAGTTCACAGAATCAGCATTGGGAAAGATACTGGAATCTAGGGGACTAAAACTTTATTTGTAAAAATTTGAGTTAATCTAAAACAGCCAGAATAGACTGATAAAGGCAAATTATGTCTGACCAAGTTAGTTGAATTCTTTGATAAGATTGAAGAATGTTGATCAAAGTAATGAAGCAGCCATTGGAAACATGGACTTTTGGGACACAAAGTGCCTTATTCAGAAGCTGGAACTCCATAAAAATAAAGGGAGAATGTTGGCATGGATACAAAAATTAGCTCAATGAAAGAAAACAATAGGTGGTGGCAGTGGAAACGTTTTTCAGACTTGGAGGGCATTTAGAGTGGTTTGCACAAAGAATCAATTACTCATGGACCATGCTTTACAATTTTTATAAATGATAGGTTATTAGAAAGTTTATAGATAATATGAAAGTCAGGGCAAAGTAGTCAATCATGATAAGCGCAGTTTATAGCCTTCAGGTTGGTACAGGATGGTGAAATGGGTTGGAGCACAACAAATCAAACTCAACTGAAGTGAAGAATGTGGACAACTAATAAATCAAGCATACAACAGCACAATTTAAAACTTGTACAAGATGGCATAGCAAATTAATCATGTAGTTAAAGCACATGGATTATTTGAGTTTATAAACAGAGGAACCAAATAGAAAAGCAAAGAGATTATGGTAGAACTTTATAAATCAAAGGTTAAGGCCTCACTTAAGGCCTCATTGTGGTCAATTCTGGGTATCACATTTCAGCAAAGATACAAAGTCATGAGAAAGGGCACAGAGGAAATTTACCAGGGTGTTACCATGGAGGAGATCCTTCTCTCTCCTTGGAACGGAGATTTCAATGTTTCCTAATAGATACATGGGAGATTACATGAAAGAGGAAAACATTTGCTCTAGTGAGTCAATATCTAGACTTGACAGATTCAAAATCATTGGAGAAGAGCTGAGAGTATCAAAATCTGGATCATTTACTCAAGATGATGGAAATTAATTTCATTAATAGCTTTGAAAGGGAGCTGAACAGGTACTGACATCAAGGAACTCAATGGCACAGTCAAAAAGCAGAGGAGGAGGAATCTCAACTGTTTTTTCAGAGTATGAATGCAGGCATGGACATGTTGCAAGTTTCTAAGATTGTACAATTTTCCTCAACATTCTCTGGTATCAGATAAACTGTACATAGCTGTAAACTATATTTAGATGCAAAACTGCAGAACTGGTCCAACACTAATTAGCAGATCCAATTCACCATATGAAAGAAATCTTCCTCAGCAAATCTGAGTCTCAGAGATAAACTGCAAATTTTATCTCTTTGTAAACAGATGCACAAGTTTCACTTTACTCTATATCATGAGCAGCAAGAAATTTGATTTTGAAACTGAACACTATAACAACACTTTGCAAATGCTCCAAAATTCAGATTGTTTCATACAAGAGCTTAGCAATACTAACACATTCGTTGAACCAGTTTTCTGGTTTAAAGCTATTATTCAGTCATCACAAGTCTGCACAGATTATCGAATAGAATATAACCTTCATTTGCACTAACAACTTTGGAAATAGTGAAACAATCACAATTGTCAAATATACAGCAGCAGAATTCCTCTACAATTTAGTTGTAACTTCACCACACAAAATAAATCTTGATTTGTGGAAGCTCGTAAGATTCATGTGAAAAATACCAGCCATTTTTGCAAGTTAAACTAGAATTATCCTAAAATTCAGTACATTCCCATTAGATTTACTCTGTGCTAATGTTAGTCGGGAGCTCCAAGTTACCCATCATTCCAGTAGCCACTTCCTGTTTGCCTATTTTATCTGCTCTCCCGTATGTACTTCCCTGACACTGAAGCAACTACTTCAACGTGAAAATACTGAATTCAATCCCCTCCCGATGTAACATTAGCCACAGTATGACTTCATTCCAACTCCCACCTTTCTTTGTTTTAGGGTAGGGGTAAGAGTTGCAGAAGCAAAAGTTTAATTTTATACCTCCAATTTAACCAAATGATTTATTGATTAACAAATAGATATATAATAGATATATACCAAATAACTTCCCATTTCAGGCAATGTGTACAATGTCATCTCATAAGGATTATGTACAGTTAACTTTAAAAAAAATGGCAGTAAAGAGTACAACAGTTGGTCACCATTTTAAATAGGAGTAACTTCCCAACGATTTGGATGACCACAAGCATTAGCAGTTGCTTAAACGCTTTATACATGGTGGGACGAATCACTGAGTGTAACTGTGATATGCTAGATGCACCCAGAATGTGTTGTTAAACCCCGTGGAAGCTGGGAGTTGAAATGGTTTAGAGGAATCCTGCTGCTGCTCCACGCTGGGAGGTTAATCCCCCAAGCCTTGAACAAGCCGTAATACAGCCCAGGCTCTACCCATTCCAACCACTTCACTCCAATCCTCTCCTCACTCACTCATCGCGGGCCTGGGTTCGAAGCCTGTCCCGTTAGGCCGCGTTCACTCTCTTCTATGCATACACACGCTTTCTCACACAGACCAACCCCGGACCGTCACAGGCCCGAACCAGGGGCTTGTGTGCAGGCATTCGGCCTGGTTCTTACATTGGCATCCTTGTCTATGGCCTGGAGCAGCTGGTCCTTGATCTGCTGCGGGGTGGGTGTCATTTGGCGGCAGTGTGGCGGCGGCGGCGCAGCAGTGGAGGGGACGGGGAGGAGGTTTGGAAGGGAGAAGGAAGGGGGCAATAGGAGATGGGGAGGGAAGAGGGAGAGAGGGACGGGGATGGAAGCCCCGCTAACAAGAAGCGCAGAGTCTGAGGAAGTGGCTGCGAAGAGCGGCGGCGGCGGCTGCAGCAGGGCCGCTCGGAACCGTCATATTCCGCCGCGGCGCTCTCGGGTGGCTCCGTGCGTCCAGTGTGCGCCTCACTTTCTCCCGGCTGTCTGTCAGCTGCCTAAAGGGAACCGGCACTAACACCGCCGCAGCAGCAGCCACCGAGCAGAGAACAGCTCAGAGCGAAACGAAGCTAACACTCACTCTCCACCGAGTCTAACTGAGGGGCCGCGCGCTGCACCACGGGAAGCCTGCGCTCCGGTTGCGCGCACACGCGCGTGCGTCACAATCCGCGCGCGAGTGCATCATCCGCCACACGCGTGCGCCGGAGACAGAATAACGGCGCGCTAGGGCGCGTCCCCGTACTTTCGCTCCAGCTCCATTACCCCTTTCGCACGTCCTGCGCCGCACCGTCACGTCGCAATCCTGACGTCATTCACCCCCCCCCCCGAGTGCGCAGGCGCAGATTGGTTGGGCTCGCCTGCCTTTCTGGTGGTGAAGAGCACGTGGCCGGTCTGCTGGCGGGCGGTTGTTGCCATGGTGACGAACCACTCGGAAAGCGTCTCCAGAAGAACTTCTGAGGCGAGACTGAAAGTGGGAAAAGATTCTCCAGAAGTTTATGAGGTGATCTTTTCTTCATAACAGACTTGTCAGGGTAAAGCCAGTGTCCACACTGGAAGCACATGTCCTTTGAGTGCCATGCCCGAATGCGAGATTGTGGAGAGGGTAACAGCGTGAGCCCAAGGACACAATGAGTACAGATAAATTACTGTGGACGCTGGAAATCTGAAACAGACCCGGGGAACGCTGGAGAAACTCAGCAGGGCTGGCAGTATCTGTAGCAGAAAAACAGAGTTAATGTTTCCAGTCTGATATTGTTTCTTCAAAACATACTGAATATAATTCAGCCCCAGTGTAAGCAAATATATTTTCTTTCTATGGAATATGGTGATTAATTACAAAAAGAAAGACTTGGATTATACAGCACTTTTCATTTACACAGGACCTTTTTTATGCTGATGAAATGAGGATATTGCTGGAAAATACTGCTCGGAAATCTCAGGTGGTCATTCAGTATCTGTAGACAGAAAGGGTGATAACATTTCAAGTCAATGACTTTCCATCAGCTAAAAGTTTTGAAGTGAAAGACCTGAAATATTGACTCTGTTTCTCTCTCCATAGATGTTGCCTGATTTGCTGAATGTTTCCAGTCCTTTCTATTTTTAATCTCAGATTTCTAGCATCCACAGTATTGTGCTTTTGTTCAGTTCCAAAGAAGAGTAATAAGACTCAAAATATTAATTCTTTGTTTCTTTCTCTACAGATATCTGATTTGAAGAACTGATGTGTAAACTATTTTCTAAATGGGGAAAGGCTTTGGAAATCTTAAGCACAAAGGGACTTAGTCCTAGTTCAGATGTCTCTTAAAGTTAACATGCATATTTGGTTGGCAGTTAAGAAGGCTATGCAATGTTAGCATTAATTTCAAGAGGGCTCGAATACAAGAACAGAGCTGTATTGCTGAGGCTGTGAAAGGCTCTGGTCAGATTGTATTTGGAATATTGTGAGCAGCCTTGAGCCCCATATGGAAGGATGTGCTTGCATTGGAGGAGATCCAGAGGAGGTTTACAAGAATAATCTGGGGATAAGGGCATATCTTATGAGGATGATTGAGGACTCTGGGTCTGTACTCAATGGAGTTTAGAAGATGGTCACACTGAAATTTACCGTGTGCTGAGAGGCCTGGATAGAGTGAACATGGAGAAGCTGTTTCCATTAATAGGAGAGAATAGGACCTGGGGCAAAGCCTCAGAATGTTGAGGGGGAATTTCTTTAGCCAGAGTGGTTAGTTTGTGGAACTCATTGCCACATAAGGTTGTGGAGGCCAAGTCATTGAGTGTATTTTGAGACAGAGATAGATAGGTTCTTGATTAATTAGGGGATCAAGGGGTGCAGGAAGAAGAAAGGAGAATGGGGTTGAGAAACATATTTAAAATTTAGAATTAGCTTTATTGTCACATACTCACATGAGTACAGTGAAGAGTTTACAAGTCACCAATTACAGCACCAACTTAGGTACCTAGGTACAGATTCTCAAGTACAAGAAAAAAATCAGAAAAACAAAGAAATTAAAAGTCCAACAATAAACCAGAAAACAGGGAAACAAGAGTTCAGAACAACAGTTCTTCCAACTCAGATCACGCAGGGCTTCACCTCACAGCCAGGAGTTCGATCCCACACTGAGGCCAGGACTTCGCGTCCACCCTGGGGCCAGAGTTGAGTCCACACTGAGGCTGGAAGTTCGAGTCCACCCTGGGACTGAGAGTTTGCACTGGCTTTCGCCCTGGACGCTGCCAATGCTGCCCGAGGACAGGAGGCAAGAAAGGAAAAAACAGAGAGAGGAAAAAAGAAAAGAAACGAATAGAGCAGATGAGCTTGGCTGAGGAATCCTACTCTGTCGCATATCAGCCATGATCAAATGGCAGAGTAGACTCAGTTAGCTGAATGGCCTAATTCTGCTCCTGTATCTTATGGTCTCATGTTCTGCTGAGTTCCTCCAATGCTTTTCTTTTTAATTTTGCTTTTGTGCTTTGGGGACTAGGACTGCTTAGAAACAAATGTGTGATGCAGGCTGTGGCCACTGAATTTGTGGTGGAATTGCAGTAACTGAAATGACAACATGTGATAATGTTGTGAGAAAAATAATCCAGAGGCCAGACCAATACTCTGGTGACATAATTTCAAATTCTACCACAAAGGAATTTAAATTTATTTAATAAGTCTATAATAAAATGCTTGTCTGAGTAATGATGATCATGAAGATACTGGATTGTCATACAAACAAACCCACTTGGTTCACTAGTATCTTTCAGGGAAGAAATATGCTGACTGTCTGCTCTGGTAGGTATCACTCCAGATCTCAGCGATGTGGTTAACGCCTAACTGACATTTCAAATGGCTTAGTAAGCAAACCATATCCAGTTGAAAAGTTGAATAAGAATATAAACAAATGGACCACCTGACATTGATCAATATATTACAAACAGCACAGGCATATCCTGGCTAGGCAGCCATGCAGAGACCTTCATACTAAAGTCTAGAATGGTATATCCACCCTTGACATCAGGTAGCAAGTGTGGCATTAGATTTACCATAAAATTGAACTCAGGGGAAATGTGTCACTGGTTAGAGTCAAAAAAAGATGGTTGTGCTTATTGGAGGTCAACTATCTCAACCCTAGGACATCAGTTCAGGAGTATCCTAGGTTCAATAATCTTCAACTACTTCAATCAATGACCTTCCCTACATCAGAAAGTGGGTATGTTTGCTGATGAAAGTACACGATTCAATACCATTTGCAACTCAGATACAAAAGCAGTCCATGCCCATATGCAGCAAAACCTGAATAACATTCATGTTTTGCCTGATAAGCAATAAGTAACATTGATGCCACACAAGTGCCAGTAATCAATGTTTTCAAGAAGAGCGAATCTATTTGCTGGCTCACCTAATGTCACACATGCTGCCTTGATGGCAAGAGTACTCATGTGAAATACATTCTGGATGTGAGTATTAGAGGACTTTGCATGAGTGGCATAACAGGGTCATGCCCTTTGGCAGGAATAATTGAGAAACTAAATATTATTTTACAGGGAGAAAGACTGCAGAAGGTTACAGCATAGCGGGATCTGGGAATGCTTGTCTGTAAATCACAAAAAAACTAACATACAAGTTTGGGTGATTAATAGGGAAGAAGAATGGATTGTTGTCCTTCATTTCAGAGGGAACAGAGTATAAATATAGAGAAGTTTTGCTAGAACTATACAAGGGACTAGTTAGACCATTACCAGGAAACTGGTTTTCATACCTCAGGAAAGACATACGGAGGCAGTCCAGAGAAATTTTGCTAGGTTGATTCTGGGGATGGAGGGACTGTCTTATGAGGAGAGATTGATTAGGTTAAATATGAACTCCTTGGAGTTTAAAAGTATAAGAGGCAACCTAATTGAAACATGTAAGTCACTTAGGGGACTTGGAGGATAGATATGGAAAAGTTGTTTTCTCTTGGGGGAGAGTCTAGGATCAGAGAGTATAATCTCAGACTAAGTGGTTACCCATTTAAGACACATATGAGGAATTTCTTCTCAGAGAATAGTGAATTTGGAATTCTTTCCTGCAAAGGGCTGTAAAGGCTGGATCAACAAGGCTGAGATAGGCAGATTTTTAATCAGTAAGGGAATCCAGGATAATGGAAGAAGGGCAGTAAAGCGGGGATGAGTATTATCAGATCAGCCATGATCTCATTAAATGGCAGAGCAAACTAATGGACCAAATGGCCTATTTCTGCTCCTAAAATCTAATAACAACCATCTCCCCCCTTTACATTAAATGGCATTATTGTTGCTAAACAGTCACTTTCTAGATTCAAGGCATTACCATTCACTATAAAATTAACTGGACCAAGAGCAGATGAGACAGCTGGGAGCAAGTAACTCACATCTTGACTCCTTAAAACCTGCCTACCGTCTACAAGTAATGTGTGCTGTGGAATACCAAGTGTGGCTTCAACAAAATCAAGAAGCTCAGCAAAATCCAGGACGAAGGAACCCACTTGTTTGACATCCATCTACCACCTTAAACTTTTGTTTCCTGCAACATCAACATACAGTTGCAACTGTGTGTACCATCTACAAGATGGACTACAACAACTCACTAAGGTTCCTTGAACAGCATTTTCCAAACCTGTGACCTCTACCATCTAAACATACAAAACCAGCAGATGAATGAGAACACCATCACCTGCAAGTTCCCCATTAAACCACACACCAGCCTGACCTTTTTGTATTCATTTGGGATATGTGCTTTTCTGACTGGGCCAGCATTTATTGTATATCACTAACTACCTTTGAGAACATAGTAGTGAGCTGGTTTCCTGAACTGCTACAGTCTGTTTGGTATGGTTACAGTTACAATGGTGCTAGGGAAGGAGTCCCAGAACTTTGGCTTGGGATTATGCTGTTGTTCCTTCACTTTCGTTTGGCCAAATTCCTGGAAATCCCGTCTTGATAGCACTGTGTGTGTACCAGCCGGCACACTGCCAATTTCTCTCGGGCAAATGGGGATGAGCAATAAACACTGGCTTTGCAAGTGTTTTCTGCATCCCATAGACAGATTTTTTAAAAATCATGTCTGCCTTACATTATGTCATACACTCTCAATCGTATAGACCGTTCTTGTTCTTTCTTCCTTTTCCTGCCTTTGTACATGTTTGAAAACTATTACATCC